AGAGCAGTGTCCAGGGATTAGGTCTAAGGATCAGAAATGTGATGAATAGCTCGACCAGCCGGTCATCAAATCAAAATGTCGTTCACGGTGTGCAAAGCGCTTTCGGCTTTATTAAACGAGATTCAAATGGCCTGTATATTGCTTCTCAAAAGTTGGTTTATGGAAACGTCAATGACTGTATTTCCAAGACGGGTGAGCTGCCTTGAACTAATGTCAGATCCCAGAAGGACAAAGGGTTAGCTGACCTAGGCGATTTTGAAAGGTTTCAACTCCTCACCATTATTCTGAAAATCGAAAACTCATAAACCCTTCATTCTTAGATGGGAAAATGTGTCCATTTCCATTAACCCAAATTTTTTTCCTGACGGTATGATTGAAGACTGTGAAAGTCTTCGAATGGGATCTAATGGAAGATACGAGCGGTTAAGAAAAGGAGGAAGGAAGAAAGAGAAAAAAAGAAATAGACAGGCTTACCACTCAGCTAAGTGAAAAACGAGCAATCATTATATCTATCGTTAGCTGCCCTTTTTTCGGAACTTGGAACAAACTGGGGAGAAATTTGTTCTCACAGCGGTTTTTGTAAGCAGAGCTTGTCGCACGTTGGGGATCCCAGACGAGGATCCTACTTAGCCACTGCGGGAGGCACGTCGAAATTAGCAATATTCCTTCAAAGTCAGTATCTCCTTGAGAACCCTCGGTCATGAATCATTCAATCATTCTCCATGAAAGCGTCATCATATACATTCCTTATCCCTGAGACGGAGTAGGCGTGGCATTTGGACATGGCATAGGATGGGTTACTCGTGGGATATTTCAATTTGAGACAACTGTCATCTTGTTCTGTGTGGAACAAAGACATGATTACAGCTGCCCCAAAATGAAAATATCTCACGAAAAGCTCAACCGGCAACATGTTCCACTTCAAGTACGCAGCCACGCCTACCGCATCTCAGGGATTTTAGGTGTACCTCTGAGAATGGCTCTGTTTGGAATCCTTCCGGACTTTCACGTTGCTGGCGATTGTGAGAGGAAAATGTGAATGTTTATGCATTTCGTGACCAGGGCTACAGGGGTGTAATGGTCTACGAACAACTTGAACTCAATTCCTCTGGACGGTCGATCTTCTGTTTTTCTCTGCACTCTCTCGTCCGCATGGCACTCAGTGGTTGTTGTGACTTCGCACATTGCAGCTTTTCACATTCTAAGTGGTTCACCCACCCCGGAGCCCCTCCCCCAGAAAAAGCCCTTTTTCTGGCTCGTTATATGCTTCTCGCACGTTTCGATGCTTCGGCAGCCGCTGTCCTCTACACATCACTGGACACATCCTGCTCAAGAGACAGCCGGCTGCGTATGTTTGACCGGTATTTTAGTCGCCCAGCCTGTACCGAGCCCTCTTTCCTTTTTTTTCTGGGGGGGCCCACTCACACGGGCCCCACCACCTTTGGTATGACCCCCCCCCTCGTCCGAGGGTCGTTCCTCCTCATCGAATCGAGAAGTCGAGCTGGGGGGATGGGAGGGGTAAATAGCACATGTGAAACAGGAAAAGCCACGAGACAATGCGACCCTCCCCCTTCTACCTAATCTTCAGATTCATCCAACCTCCTGCCCACTTTTGTTCCAGAATTCTACCGATAAAGTTTCCCCTACTCTTCCCCAAAATTTTCCGCCCTGCGTCACGAACGGAGGGGGGACCCCCCTCCCTTTACAACGTCCCATGAAGAGAGAAAAATCAACTATCAAAATAAATTTTTCTCAGCCCAAATACGACCACCCCCTCTCCTGGCGGCAAATAAACCCCACCTCTTATTTGGCCCCCCTCTATTGAGGAATTCCCCAACAACGATGTGCCCTGGTCCTCTATCTGGTGTACGGGGTTTCGCAACAGGGCCACGCACAAAGGTTCAACATGTCACTCTGTCTCAACTCTGTTACCGGGTGAAACTACGCCAGGGCTGGAATTTTCGCCAATCGCACTAGTCCACGACTGCGGCTCCTGGTATGTCCCTCCTTCCTACAATGGTAAACAGGAGGGACTCGCCAATGACCCACATGTACACCATGGTATCCAACTCTGTATTGCGACAAATGTGGACCGTGCCTTGGCAGGAATAGCCCGTGATTGCCGTCGGGCAAGGAGGTTCATATATGAGGGACAAGATGCGGGTAACTCAGCAATAAGGAAAGAGGGCAGAAAATGCCAAAAACGCTTTGAACGAGACATATCTTAGTTTTAAAGGCAGTTGGCAGGAAAATCTCTAAGAAGAGTAGGACTGATACCCAGGACAGGATTCCGCGACCCTAAGCAGGTGCTGCGCCTTTCCTGAGAGAGGCACCCTCAGAAGGGCCATATCGAGCTACAACATTACGACCCGAGCGCCCACCACGCCCGCCCGCCCACAAATGGACGACCGTACCTGACGCTCGTATTGCTTTATTTGCAAAGTAAAATATGAAGCGAAGAGATTGGTATGAAGCGGCTGCGGTGCTGCATGGATATATGGGAACGTACATGCAGCCGTACCCACCGTAGCGGTTATTGGCAAGATGTCTACGGAAAACTCGTCCGAAATTGTCATTAAGGACGAAGGTTTTTCTTCGCAGGTTTTTGACCGTTTCACTTCGTTTTTTCGCCATTTTCCCACTATATGGCGCCCTGCTAGCATTTTAGGCCAATTAACAAAATATCGTGCCAAGCTGCCTTTAAGTATCATATCAATAGCCAGCTTCTGTTACCGATAGCTCCGGCTCGACTCGCGGACTCGGACTTTGAGCAACAATTTTCCAAGCTGGCCCAATCGTTGCTGAGAGCCAAAGTTTGTGGTTATCGGACGTTGAGGCAGTCGTTTCACGATAGCAAGTTACAGTACTCTACGAATCGCAAATGTGAGCACCTTCGCAACATTTAAAAAAACCTTTCCATTTTGGAAAACCAGATTGATAACTAGTTTACACTGATGAGAAAAGGAATACTTATCACCGCCATAAACAGATGAGATACAATAATCGATTGCAATATGTCAAGTAGACATCTGTCTGCTACGAGACGGGAGTTGGCGCAACATTCTCAAACTCCTATTCAGAATTTGTTGGGCCTTGGAACAAGTTCAGTGACTTTATATGCCCAGAAAAGCCCGTTTATGCCTTCTCGAACAGTCCGAGACTTGCCGGCCAGACTTGCCGCCATTAGGCTTGATGGCGGGCATGTTTGCTGCCCGTTCCCATCGATATCATTAATGCTTTCCTGTGGAAGGACCTGTATTACTCTCTGCTTAAGCTAAGCAATAAGCCGAGGGTTGCTTGCCGGTTGACAAGGCGTTCACAGGTTCCCATCAAAGCACAAACGTGCTAAGTTAACACGGAACCACTAACAGATAATTCGTGCGATCTAGCAAAAATGCTTCCCCTTATTCGACGGCGCTTGAATTTCGGACCCGCCAAAAGCCAGTTTCGACAGCACTGCCTTCATCAGAACCATTTATACGTAAATTTTTCGAACCCTCTTAAACTCGAACCCACTTTGAAAAATTTACAAAATGAAAATTGAAAGGAAGGAGCTCATGAAACAATGTCGCGAATGAAGCAAACATTCTGGGAGATCTCGCTCTCATTCGGAGTATCGTGGACTTATGGACCGGGCGGTGACGATTTCACTAAAGGATCGGCGCAGTTCGGCTTGGTGGGGGCACCGAAAGGTACTCAACTGAGCCTGTACAGGCTACCTTGTGGAAACCTCTAAACTCCTATGACCAGAGTGGCTCACTAGCACTATTTTGCGGCTTCACAGGAGTTCACAGGTCCTACCGAAAAGAGACCTATCATTTAATGAAAGAGACTCATCATTTAATGAACTAAACAACAAAAGGGATAGCAAGAGTGCAGAGTGCCCCCCCCCCAAGCCGATCAGCGCCGAAAAACTCATGGGCTTTTGCCAAATAGCCAAACGATGAGAAATGATTGCTGGTAAAGGCTTTGGACAGAAGTTGATCCCTGGAATATGCGCGTAGCAGACGGCCTTAATGGGCCGTCAAACCATTGCCGTCAAAGAAAGATAAGGAGAATTTAAGCGCAGTGGCTAAAAGAGGATAAACATAAACACGAACGTAAGAACAGTTCTCCGCCGAGGTGAACGAGACCATGCTGTCAATTAATTGGGACACGTTTGACCACGAGGGTATAAAAAAGACACACAGATTCACAGAGAGACAGAGGCTTCCAAATGAGGACAACTTAACCCACCCAGAAGCTTTCAGGATTCAGAATTGACGTAAGATCCGCGGCATACTCCAGAGTACACAGAAGTACGAAGTAAAGATTGCCGCTCTCGAATGATGACGGTCGGGACAACAAAACCCACCCGGAAGCCTTCAAGATCCAGATCTGACATAAAGTCCACGACATATTCCAGGGTACCCATGAATTCGAAGCAAAGATCGCTGGCTCCCAAATGACGACGATCGGGACAACGAAACCCACCCGGAAGCCTTCGGGACCCAAACTTGATGTGAGAGCCACGGCGTATTCCAGAGAACTCAGAAAATGAAGCCATCTGTCCTAAAGCTTGGACTGGTGGCAGCCACTGCCATATAAAGTGATTGAGTTATGGGAAATGAACTCGCATGTCTCGCAGTGACTCGATGAGTAACTGAGAGCAGCTGGAAATCGCTGAGAATCCGGTTTCTCGGCGAGGAACATGATGTTCCACTAGGGGCAAGCCTCATTCGTATATGTGGAAGTTTCCCATGTCTCGTAGCGGTCTCATTCTCCGTTCTCCGTTCGCTCGCGGCATTTCTCCTTCAGATCGTCTTCGTTTCGGTCTCGAAAGCACTGTGTGTGTATCAAGGAACGGGCTGTCAACATCATTGTCGGTCTCGTCGGCACATTCCACACACCAACGCCACCATCACCAACGCCTCATCGCCATACGGCGTCGTCGTTGCGCGCCGTCTCACAACAACGACTCCGCCCTCCACGCCCAGCACACCAACCAACCCACCCTTCACATCACCCATCCCCATCCAACCGCGCCCGACCGACAACTCATTTGTGTCACCGTTGCCCCGAAACAGTCATGATCCTGCCCTCTGTCGCTGTTCTGGCCGTACTTCTATCGCCGTTAGCCGTTTTTGGCCAGGATGATGCTACCACGTCGGCCGGCGCGGTTGCACAGCCTGTGTGCGGTGTGAATCAGCTGTTCAACGGACAAATTTGTACCTGTGCACCTGGGTAAGCACATTTTGCCTTTCCCATTAGGGAACCTTTCTGAAATGCACCTTTCAATTTCTTGAATTCTCGTTAAACCGAACTTCAGACCTTCTTTTACCGTATCTGTTTCCACTGTAGAAAGAGACATTTTAGTACTCAAAAGGGCAGTACTTGAGAAGATGGCCCTTCAGAATTTTGTGATTCATCTGAAAATGAAATGTTCAATGAACAAATAGTTTCCGAGCAAATGACTAGAACCATCATGGCGACCTTTCGATTACGATCTCAGGTTACTGCCGTTGTGTTCCACTCAAGAGATCGTTTCTTTCAGTGAATTTCCTTGAATTTTTGATTGAATTATGAGTCTTCCGGACACGGCGGAACCCATAACCCATATAACACATGAGTACCCCTGACCCATAATATCTATAAGGAGATCTTTAGGTTACCTGAGTACAATTTTAGAGTCTCTGAATTTCTCCTGGATGTGCTCAAATGAGGTCAAAAGCTAATCTACGCCTTTGTCCCCCCCCCCCTTCAGCCAAAGAAAGTTGTACAGAAGCCCTTCGTGAGCACTAGAGGAGTTCGCTCTCCTTCTTCACAACTGCCAGTAGTACCACCCCTTCAGCTCAAATGTCAGCTATAGTTACTTCCCAAAAATTGTTGTCATCGGCACCCTGGCTCAAGAATCCTCGTTGTATGCTGTGATCTCTGGTGGTCCATTCTTCTCGAAGAACTCCTCTCTCTCTTCTTTC